GCTGGAAGCAGGGAACCATTCTCCCCTTGTAGTCTTAACACTGATGAACAGACAGCAAACAAAATAAATATAAAAAGCTCCCTGGCTCAAATGCATAAGTGTAAATACTTACGCTTTGCATGGTTAAGCTGGTAGCATTGGAGCTAGAGACCAGGAAAAGTTTCAAGACTCTCAGCTTTGCTGGGATGAAAACAGGCTGGGGGCCCACAGGCAGAGAAAGACAAGTTGGAGCCCAGGAAGATGAGAAGAGAAAAAGATTTTAAAAAACAAGGTTGCAGTGGTAATCTTACAAATTCAACAAGGAGTCCCAGGAGGGGGAAAAAAGTGAGGATGAAGGCAAGGTTTCCAAAAGTAAGGGCAAAATATTTATATCTAAGAAGGCAGAGAGACAAGGATTGAGACAGGGAGGTAGTAAGTGCAGCTACTACTGCCAAGTTTAAAGGAAGATTTAGTTTAAAGGACCAGGTTTCTAAAATAAAGGTTGCATTCTAGATTACAATCCACCTGTCTGCCACAATGAAAATCACTCTTGATTGGAAAGCAGAGCACACACCTGTCTAGTACTTGGCTAATGAGGCATCAGTAGGAAAAAAGATTACTTACAACACCTGGGAAGGAAAGTACTGTCAACACCAAATGTGGTGATAACATTTTTCCAAGTTCCCAACCCCAGCACTTTGTAATGCATGTTTTGTTGTTTTTTTTTCTTGATGACTGGCTCTATTCTCTGTTTACAAGGACCAGGCCACTGTACGACTGGACACACGGCAACACAGTGGGTGTGATTTACAATGTGTCATGACAATTATGTGAAGTAAATGGCCACTGAATTTATGGCACCTGCATTCATATCTGGTCAAAGCAAATAAGTGTTGCGGTTAACCATATCAAATTTGTTATCTTGCTGTTACACAGCCTTCCACCCTATTGACCTTCTTGAACATCACTTCACTAGATGGTTAGGGCAGGGGCTTCTTATCAGGTCTGGAGCAGATGTGAGCCCAGTTTCTACACAGGCATTGCTGCTTGAAGCCGAAGACAGGTATCTGCTGGACAGGCCATCCTTTGGGGCCGTGGCCTCACCACACCATTAGAAATCAGCTCTGGCGGGTATCTCTGGTTTTACCTGATGGAAGTGAGGAAGAGGAAACAAGTGTTTTTGGGAGACACCCTGTGTGCCTTTCCTGAACTTCCACAGAAAGTTACTCTTGAGTTTCCTGAGGACCTCATTTCTCTATGCAAACCCACAAAGGTTCATTACATCCCATTCTCCAATTCATTAATGAATACAGTGAATAATGACAGCCCCGGTATCAACTGCTGAAGAATGCAGTAGTAATCAGATGCCAGCTGGATGTTGTTCTACTGATCACAGGCAGTATGCCTCCAAGCCCAGCTGGTCAACTAATTTTCCACCCACTGTGTAGGTCACTTATCCAAACCATCTCTCTCCATTTTGGCTATGAGAATACTGAGAAACAACATCAAGAGCCTTGTTAAAGGTAAACAACATTTTCTACAGTCCTCTTGTCCACAGAATCTGTTAACTCATCATAAAACGCCATCAGGTTTGTCAAGCGTGAATCACCCTTTGTAAATCCACCCTGCCTGTTCCAAATCACCTTATCCTTACTATACTTGGGTAGTTCATGGTTTCAAGGAGGATTGTTCTATAATCTTCCCAAAGAAGGCAATCAGACTGGCTGAGCAGCCTCCTGCAGTTTCACAGGTCATCTTCTTGTCTTTGAAAATGGGTGAAAAATGACATTTACCCTTTTACACTTATCAGGAACCTCATCCATGACTCTCCTGGGGCACAAAGGCAAGAATGATAAAAGTGGTAGCTCTTCCTACTGACATAGAAAACTTCCTAGAAGGAAATGGGAAGAAGAGAGCAGACAGACACCAACAGGAGAGGATGTTGCACACCCACATCCTACAGTTCTGTATCTGTCAGAGCTCAGCAAGTACTAGCGGCTCCCTAAGGGCCAGGGGCCAGAAGCCAAGAGAGGTACCATGACTGACAAGGCAGAGGCCTCACCAGCCAAGGCCCCATCCCCACAGCTCCCAAGCAAGGCAAGCAGGACAGGGATGGTAACCAAGGTAAACCTGAGTCCAGATCACCAGGCAAGCTTGTAGTGATGAAGGAGGGCCAATGTGAAGCCAGAAGTCAATCTGCAGGCCAGGATCAGATCCAGTCATGATTGACAGGCAGCTTCATAGTAATAACATACATCTGAGTCCAGGCAGGAAGACTGTCCATGGTTCAGGGTCTGGATCAATGGGCAATTTCCATGCCCACACACAGGCATGACTGTAACACAGGCAGAGACAGGTAGAACTTCAACATCACTCAGGCAGGGACTAAAGCCCTGGCGTGATCTTAAATGGAATTCTTGGGCCCATGAGCAGGGGGTGTGGGTGGAGGTCTCACATATGGATTACCAGGACCATTAAGACATATTAGTGCTCTCAGAGCCATGACAGGATCTACAGTTTGTACAAAGTAACCCCACTGGTGACATTCATAAGTCCTTTCAAGTACAGGTAACACGCAAGGCAATGAGCACACATCACATCCATGACAGGTACCTTCAGTGCCAGTGAATGCCATCATGCTCACATTATTCAGTTTGCTTCAAGCAACACAGCACTAGTTTTTTCACAGTAGCCACATCTAGGTGGATGTCAGTGTGTTGCCTCCCCAAGGCCAAGGGCTTGCTGTAGTATCATGGCTTCAGTCAGGACCATAAGGAGCAGGAGAAATGGCATCTGAATAATATCATCTGGCACAACCTTCTTAGTATGCAGGTGCAGGCAGCAATTACGCTGTAAGCATAGCACAGGCTAGAGGCCAGCCATAAGTGCAAAGCACTTTAAGTGCAAAGGCTTACCGGATAGCTCTTGAGTCAAAACATGAACCAAGCAGAAAGGATGTGGCCAGTCTATTCCAAAGATCCTAGCCATACCAAAGCAGTGCAGGCACAAGTCACTGTGTAACCATGGTCACAGAGCCAAGATTCTCTCCTTGATATAAGAGAGAAAGAAGACGTAGCTGTATCCACTGGGACTCAAAACTGGCATTCTCACTTACTGGGTGCACACGGTCAGTGAGCAAACTTCTCCAAGTATTTCAAATATAATCATCATGGATCAATGGATTGAATAATTTCCTACTGAAAAGAATTCACTCAAGCATTTAAGTCAGCTTCTTGGATCATTATGCAGAACAAAACCCAAAATAAACTCTTGACAGGAACTATGTGTTGTTTGTACTGGGTCCACTTAAGGCTACCATGAATCTTCTGTAATGCAGGCAGTACAATACAGGTGCTAAACTCCCAAGAAAATGCGAAATAAAACCTTCTCAGAGTTACCAACATTATTACAAAGGTCTCCAGTGGCAACATTCCCCACAGACTAATAGCTGGGCATCCAGCCAGAAACAAAAAAGTTATTAGGGCAGCTGTGCCAGACAGGAAGGAAGTCAAAAACCTCCCAAACATTTCCCTACTTTGAGAAAAGAAATGTACACATGATGGAAGGGGAGCACTTTTCTCCCCAAAAAAGCCAATTTTTAATTCAACATACAGACAGAGCTAGGAAATTATAATGTTATGCTCCACTTGGTAATTATATCCAAGATGCCTATAAGCACACATCTTCAGGAATCAAGTAGTTCTGAAGGCTTCAAATACTCATGCCAATCAATTCACAACTCCAAGTCAGAGCAGGGGGAGTATAAGCACATGCTGTTAGGAATTCATTAGAAAAAGCTTGGACTCAAGTCCAGTTCTCACTTGTAACTATGAAACCTTTTAAGAAGGAAGATCTGGTACTTATTTTAAAGCTGCTTTTCATCTACAGAAATATCTTCAATGCCTATTTAACTAACTGCAATAAACACAACTTTATTCCTTTAAACTAAAAAAAAAGATAAGGCATAGCCTTTTATTTCAAGTATAAAAATTGTTCAATGAAATATGGACAGAGTTTTTACTTTCAGTATAAAGGTTTAAACAGATAGAAAGAATCAAGTACCAAATTTCTGAAAAAAATATGATTCAGTTCAAAATTCCAAACAATAATGAAAAGGCACTTAAACAAAAAAATATCCAGCAACAAATATAACTCTTATGTCACAGTGAATGTGTAGTCAAACATTATCTAACACTTTATAAACAAAGAAATTAATTAGTCTGGTTAAAGTGAGCAACATAGTCCAGACAAGAGTGAATTCAAACTCCCTGCACTTCAACAATCACACTTTTCTTTCAAGTGTATAGAAAGCAGAGAGAGAGAGAAAAAGACAAGAGAAGTCTTCAGTCAACTATCAGTTTACAGCACTGTGTTCAGATGAAGAACTCAGAGTTCAATCTGTACAAAGTTCCACAAAAAGAAATGTAAGAAAAGTAGGTAGCAGCATAAATACATCATGGTATCCCCTGATCTGTATGTTTGATTTAAGGGTTTTATATTTGTATCCCCAGTTTAAAGCAAAAAAAAGTTTCTACGAAAATAGAAACCTTTGTTAAAAGCACAACAATCAGACTAGAGTAAGTAGAAAATAAAGGTGTAATGCTTGGGAATCCACTGCAATCCCTTTCCAGTAGGAACATTTTTCCACTGCCAGCAATGGAAAGTACCACAAGAAGAAGTTTTCCAGAATCAGAAAAGAAAACAGACCTTGACAATTTAAATGAGTTTGAGTTTTTTTGGTCAAGATTCAAGTAACTCCTGTATCTTTAAAAAAAAAAAAAAAAAATTCAAATATGCCAAAAAGAAATGATACATTTGACAATGGCATTTTCAGCACCAAAAACATATTTGTGCAATAAATACAGCATAAGATCTCAATCATTCACAAATATGAGGCAACTTGGGGAAAAAATTGGCAACACCCAAAAAGAATTTTCTTTCACAATTATTCAGAAATATGAAGTAAACAGGAAAAAGCATTTCAGCGTTGGCATTTTTTTCCCAGTGATATTGAATAAGACTTATGATACAGGAGTGTTATCAAGGCTTTTGCATCTTTTTTCCAGATACATTTTCCTGTAGGTCTGAAACACCTCTCTTGAGTCTTTGATTGGAATGTGAAGAGCCTCACCACCTCCGTCCAGGATCTGTATAGCTGTATCAAGTGGAATATTGCCCTCAGCTGAAAGACAGACACAGAAGCAGGTTAAAGCAAAAGTCTAAGAGTCTGAAATGACTCTACTCTTCATGCATGTGGTATTTAAAGCCACCCACTGTCAAAAAGGATGCCACAAGCTTCCTTCCCAAAGCACCAGGCACCTCAGATTTAAATCAATCTCCAATGCATCTTAAAGTACCAAATGGTCATTTGAGTGTCTTCATAAGAGAGATTTCTAAAGAATATTAAGAAAAAGTATAAATGAAAATGTGCATTTGTGAAAGTAAGAGAAGAAACAAGATGAATGGCTAAAAGAATCGCAGACACCAACAGCCAAGGACACATTCAACAGCAATAAGAGATGTAAACATTGCAGAATGTGTTGCTTGCACCAAGACTACACACAGATAACTTGTCAACAGAGGACTTGCACTCTGGTAAGAGGATGGCAACAAGGTTACAGCATGCTGAATGCACCATTTCTCTTCCTGTTAGATCAGTAGGAAAACAAGGCTATAGCTAGAAAGATACCTAAAGCAAAGAAACAAAGAAAGTGGGGAGCAACCTCGCCCAAGATTCACGAAGGATGGAGCCACCAAGATCCTGAGATGAAAGATGCTGCTGCTGTAACTGTTGACTCCTAAAGGGTACAAAAGACCATACAAAAAGTAATCTGCCAATCAAGAGAAACAAGGAAGATGTAGTAGTGGCATCACTTCTCCTCTGTGTGTCATACAAGTAATCCTGTCCAGACTACTGGGACACACAGGTCCCAGTACTTGTGAGCATGGGTGTATGTGCGGATGGTGTCAACGTAATGTGAAAACCAAATAAAATAGAACAATCACTTTCTGGTTTTATAGCCTCATACTAGATTTTGATATGTCACTTCCTACATTTAAACTGGGAAAGAGCTAGCTTCATCTTTACCTACAATTTAAAACTGTATTTGAATCTTGTCACCAGTGCTACTTCCGATGCAACTGCACACACATATGCAGGAAAATTCCAACAATCTCCAACATATTCTTATGACAATAAAAATGTCCACAAATCTTTGAAACCCATATGTCTACTCCACATTACCCATTTCAGCAGCACAGCTAGTAAAGAATAAGTTAAAATACTTTATTAAGATTTGCTATTGTAAAGGAACATTTAAAACCAAGCAAAGAGTATTTAACTTATATTTCAAAATGGATAATCAGAAGTCATTTCACCTGTAGAGATCTCTTCTATCTTTTTTTGCTTCACTGGATCACATTTTAACCAATCTTCTTTTTTACTTTTGACACCTAAAGAGAAAATTTAGAAATGTTTTTGAGGTTCCTGTATCACAGGTTTTGATCTCTAGTAAGCATCAAGTTTTAATACATATACTAGCACACGCAAAAGGACATTTCCTTTGGGTGTGAAAAATGACTGCAAGGGCTGGTATGGACAATTTAAGATTTGGTTTTATTTAAAATCAAATATAGCATATTTGACACAAATATGCTTCACAATACCCCCATACAAAATGTTGAAAGACTGGGGATAGGGAAGAAGAGGAGTTAAAAAGGCTGCTTAAAGCAAAGATGGCAAAGTTCATGGAGACTGAGTGCAGGATATATCTGGCCCAATCCCTCTCTCTCTTCAATGCTGCAAATGATCTCTCCCTCCACTGTCCACCCAGCCAGATTTATACACAATCAGGTGAACACTGAATACAAATCAGATCACCTTTGGTAACTACGCCAAAAGAATCTGCTTTCTATGAACAAACCAAGCTATCTTCTACAAGTAGGTTAGAAAGCCTTCTCACAAAGTTACTTGAAACTGCCATGCTCTAAACTACTCTAACTTTATCCTGTAAAACTTAAGGAAAAAGAAAAAAAAAAACATTAAATTGAAGGAAAGACTCATGTTCTTTTTCAGCTTAACACACAGCTACAGTCTGTCAGAAAGCTAGCTAAGCTATTTCAACATTGAGCTTCGAGTCCCATGTTTTCACTGACTGTAGTTTTCTGTAATGTGAATTTAAAAATGAGTACATACTTTTTTTTTCCCAAATTAATTTACTTCCAAATTAATACTCAAGATAGCAGCATACCTGCCACAATGGCTTTCTCTCTTTCCAGGGAATTCTTTGCAGCTAAGCTTTCTTCGTCAGTAGTTGGATTTCTGAACAGTATCTCTGGACACAGCTTAAATTCAAGTACTTCCCGTTTGCATGATTTCTCAACTTCTGAGACAGAAGCATCCCTTTTCGCATCTGGGCTGTTTTGCGACACTTTGGCCTTTGTATGCCAGACAGGTCTGACAGGTGATGTCTCTAATTTTGTCAGATATATGCGTTCCTGTGTCGTACGTTTAAATGCAACTCTATTGAGATAGTGTTTTTTTGGTTCCTTTTGAAGATGTAATTTTAATCTATTATTTCTTCTATTTAAGTATAGCAGGTTTTTATCAGAAAACATTTTCTCAGAGCACTTGTCTTTGTTTTGACCATCGAGACGTCTCTCTTTGTTAGAAAAGTAGTTTTTAGAAATCGTAGAAGATCGAGCCCTTTTTCTCTGTCGTTTAAGCACAGAGCGATCTGCTAATGAACTCTTCGGTTTCCAGCCATTTTCTCCATTCAATTTTTTAGCTTTGTCAGTATTTATCATGGAATTATGTGAAAGCTGCTTGGAATTCTTTGCTTCAGATTGTTTCAGTCTTTCCTCTTCCACCTTTGTTTTCTTAGGGTCTCTCTTTCCAATCATATTTTCCTTCCTCTTCCGTTTGTATGACTGCTCCTGTGAAGAATGAACTTTCATAGATTTATGTTGAGAATATTTGTGGTTTCTTGACCTTAAGTCTACAGTGCCAAAATTTGGGAATTTCACAGCATCAGCATGATAACTATTCAGCTTTTTATGTTTTATTTCTGCTGATAATTTTGCTTTCTCCTTGATGTTAATTCCTACATCTTGCCCAAGTATCTCCTTCTGTTTCCTACAGTTCTGTTCTCCAGCCGAGTTCTCTTCACGGGTTTTAATTTTTTGTCCTTGATTGACTTCAGTGCATTTAATTTCAACAGATTCTGACTTTGTAAATTTGTGAACATCTGTTTTGGATTTCATGGCCAAACCTGTTTTGATTTTATCTTTTGAAAGTAACTCCATTTTGAAAACTCTCTCTTTCTTTTTGGATGACTTTGTCATGTTGTCTGCATCTGTATGATCAGCTTTCTCTGACAACTCTTCTGAGGCTGTCTGACATTCTTTTTTGTCAGAAAGAAATTCTTTGCCTATCAATGGGGTTCCTCTGTTGATTTGCAGCTCCTCCTTCCAGCTGCTCCTTTTAGATTTATCAACATCCTGGTTTTCAGAGGAATTAAGTTGTCTAATTTTTTCCTGTTGTGTTGCAAGCAGTTTGTATTCATTATTCACATTTAGCCTAGCTTTTTTGTTCATTACAGAGGTGTATTTGCAAATATCTTTTTTATTTTTGCTAACACTGTTTGGGATTTTTTCCAAAATTGGCACGTTTCCAACTGCACAGTTGTTCTTTATTATAGCATCAGATTTACCACTGTTTTCTTGTCCCTCTGCAGAGCTAGTATTTTCAGCTTTTGAAAGTTGATCATCATTTTTCCCTGAACCAGTCGTTCTAAATTTCAAGGGGCACTGTGGCATTTTACATGCTACAGATTGTTCTTTAATGGGTTGACTACCAGGGTTTTTTTTCGCCCTGGGGTCGGAGGTGTTTTGTGATGTTATTTTCTTCTCGCATAGACTCTGACCAGGCTGAACGCTACCTTCAAGGTTCTCCTTCTCAGCTGAAGCTTTTTCTGAATCTTGACTCGCTACTGTCTTGCTGTCGCTAGAGGAATACTGGCTGTGTTCAGGAAACAGTTCTTCCATCTGATCAGAGCTTAACACTGCAACTTTTATCTGATCTACTGGGTCCTTCAAGTGAGAATTCTTGCCACAAATTTGAGTCTCTTTTTGAGGTTGATTCTCCACCCGCTCGGCCACAGAATCATTTTTTACTGGTTCTTTTGTTAGCATATCAGCACCTTCAATGCCATATGGAAACTCTTTCACTAGTGCAGACAGCTGATTGTTTAGACATTTAACAGGTTCTGCTCCAAAAATGCTAATCTCTTTTTCTGTGCTATTGTTACTGGACATGTGATTTTGTTTACTGTTGTCTCTTGGAACAGCGAATGCATTTGTTTCAGCAGTTAGGGTGATCAAGAAATCTAGTGAATTTTGAGCTAATTCCTGGTTTATACTACCAAGAAATTCCAAGTCATTTTCAGGATGCTTGAAAGATGCATTCAATGACATTTTTTGTTCTGAGGTAGAAACTGGTTTAAGGAGATTGCCACTGCTTTGTTTCTCCAAATGACCAGTTGTAACACCATTCAAAACCTTACTTGCTTTACTCATGCAGCTTGGTGATTCTTCCAACATCTTTTGCAGCAAGCTCTCTCTTTGGGGAGTGTTATTGCTCAGCTCATTTTTATACAAGTCCAGCCATTGCTCCTTTTGCCTTGGGTCTGATCCATTTCCTTCTGATAAGGTATCATTTAACGTGTGTGTCTCAGGGACTGACCTGAAGATACTTGCTATTTGTGGATTATAAAACGTATCACCTTCAACAAGAGAACATACACCAGAAATACAAAACATTTGTTCTTCCAACACAGCTGTGGATGTATCTCCTGTCTTTAACATAGCTTGCTTGTCTTTATGGTCTCTCATACTTTCTTGAAAGATTTGACTAGAAAAATTTATGCCCAATTCAGGAAGAGAAGGCTTGTTTTGTAATTCAAGCTGCAGATTTCCTCTGGCATCTTGTGCAGACTGACTAACTTTCCTTTGGTTTCCATCATATGAATCATTTGCACTCACACTGGTTTTTACAATCCTGTTTCCATCAGCTAATTTGGTCTGTTGCAAACATGAGTCCACTTTCTGTACCAGAACACAATCACTGGGTGACGACTGAACATTTTTTACTGTTCCTTTTTCAGTATTTACCACACTTAAATCACCTTTCCCCTCTTCTTGCAAGCTACATGTGCTTCCTGAGTCAATCACTGAATAGGTTTTACTTGCAGATGTTGGACATTTGTCTGCCTGCTCACTCTGTGTTCTCTGTTCAGAAAGTACTAAAGGAGAGACAACTGCAACTTGGAGTTCAAAACTTTTTATCAAATTGCAACTCAGGGTATCAAGTTTTTGTCCTGCAGAAGCAGTTGGTACAGGCAAAATTGCTTCGTCTGTACTAACCGGAACATTATTTTGTTCTCTATTTTTTGTGTTTTGGCTGCAAGATGAAATCTGGTGTGCTGTAGGGTTTTCATTTGACTGGCTATTTTGCACACTTAGAGATTCTGACGGATGCTTTTTCCACAAGCCCAGGCATGCAGTTAGCTCTTCCGCAGAGTAACTGTAATTGCTCTGTTTAGAAGATGTATTTTCAGTAAATGGCGTTTTTTTCTGAGCTACATCACTTTGGAACTTAGCTTCACCAGATTTGGTTGTTTCTGATACATGAGAGTTTGTGTGAACCATAAGCGCCTGCTTACCTTTCAAACTTTCTACGTTCTTCTCACTAGTGTCTTTTATTAAGCTTCCACTCGAGACAGATGTATCTGTCAGTGGTTTTTCACTACACAGGAGACTAGTCAGTATCTTATCAGCAGTAGCACCAGCTGTCTCCTCTTTCAATACATTTGTGCTGCTCAACACAAACTGAAGAAATGATGAGTTCCCAGGCTTAGCTGGCACATTCTTTGATGCAATTTTGGTAGAGCTATCCACTTGATTAAAACCTGAAGCATTGTTCAAGGATGTCACAATTTTTTGAGAAGAAGCCAAGGCATGTGCATCCCTTTGTTCTGATATGGGAGTGCTCTCAGGAGCTGGGAGTTTGCTCTGAGAGGGAATAGGAGCAGGGCTTGATGAAAGGCTTTCCTGCTCCACTTGAGGGTTATTTTGAGTTATCTCTAATCCTCTGTTATCAGCATTGGGTATATTTTTGTCATTTCTTTCTTCAGGTGAAGAGTTAAGTATTGGACTCTGTGTCCTCGCTGTTTTAGATGGGGAAGGTGGTACATTTTGGTTGGGCACCCATGGAAGACGATTAGTAAGACTACTTTCATAAGATGGAGGAGGTGGGGGAGTACTTTTGTGATGTTCTGAAGCTGTTAACAATTTTCTTCTATAACGATGCATCCTTTCAAGCAGGACAAATTTTTTTTTAATACTGAGCAGCCTTTGAGCTTCCCAAGCTAGTCTGTCCTTTATAACTGTTCTTTCATCTGCTGCTGCTGAAGCAATTTGAGAATTAACAGGCCCACTCTTTAAAGTACTGGTCTGGCTTTCTTGAACTGAAGCAGGACCGCTCGGTGGCTGCTTCGAAGCAGCCACCGAAGAAAGAGTTACCATTTCTTGCATAACATCATACAGTTCTTTGGAAATACCAGAGGATGGCACAGACGTTTCATTAAAAGGCTGAGTTGCTGTCACATTTCCACCTGAATTATAGACATTCCTAACTGACTGACTGACTTCTCCAGATTGCTGTTTCTGACAGTGTTGCTGAACGCTGTTAAAACCAGTAGCATTTTTTGGATCCGATGGGTGCCTCTGTTGGCTAAGGGTGTATCCATTAGGCACATTTTGAACTGCCTGTGGTACACTTATTGAAGATCGTGCTGCAGCTCTTGAATCACAGTTGGCAGGCAACAAAGATGGTGCAGAACATCCACTAAGAGCTTCTGGTCCCGTCTGATTTGGTCGATATTGTAGCAGCTGTACATTTGCTTCACTATTTTGATTCAGTGAGTGTAAAACTTTAAACTGAGTGTTGGGGTGATATATGTGGTTTTGGACATGTTGCCCAGAGGTACCAAGAGACACAGAATTCTGGGAATGAATGTTACTTTGATATAACATTGTCGTTCTCATAGAATTATGCTGCGGTATTTGTGGCTGCACAGTGTAACCATCTGTGGTGACATACTGAGGTTCCCGAAGTACATTCCTCACGTTATTTCTAGCGTTCATTTGAGGAGACAGGGGAGGTAACTTGTTAAGGGAATAAATATAGGCATTAGAGTTTGGCCAAGAAGTCTGAGTCATCTCTGCCCGCAACCGTGATGTCTCGTTGGGAGGTTTTGGAGCTATTGGTACACAGGATGGTGGACGTTGATCAACTGAGTATTTCGACATAAAAAAATCATTACCAGCTACAGCTGCTCCTAGTAAGGCCTGATCTGAAGTTCTGAATCCTTCAGCATTTACAAGAGGGAAGGCAACATTGCTAGTTGGCAGATACATCATTTGGTTATTTCCAGCATAAGTGCATGCATTTTTAGAGGAATAGGTATTTGTCTGAGGAAAAGCATGTGCATTAGAATGGAATTGAGTGTAACATGCGTCTTCACTTTGCAGGTTCTTCTTTGCATCAGCATTCTGGAGTGGTCTTACATTCCAGTCCATCTTTTCTTGATTTCTTTTTTCTTCAGCCAAAACCCAAAATGCTAACAAAAAAAAATCAGAACAAACAAACAAGCAAAAAAAAAAAAAATCAAACCGTAATCTTATGATCAAAACCTATTTCACTTACCAAGAAGTGATTTAGAATGCATGATGAACAGACCTGTTGAACCTAAATTGCTAGGTAGAAGAGCAACTCCATTGGCACATGCTGTGGACATCGATGTTGTCAATTTCAAGTTGCATAAATTATTTCCCACAACACAGTTAAGGTGCAAAAAGTTAAAGCAGCAACTAACCATTCTATTGACTGTCTAAGGAAGAAAAAAATCCTCACATTATTCTGCTAATGCTATAATCATTCAACTTTTTAATTTAATGATAGATTGCTATATTTATCCTCTCACATAAAAATAATGGAAAAAACCTCAAGAGCTGAGCATAATAAGCACCTATAGAATATAATACAGGTCAGAGTTTTCAGACAAGAAGACTCAACTTCAATTATACCTTCAAATACAACAAAAGAAAGGAGAAAATTAATTTGGGTTCAGTAAAGATCTCTCATAATAATGTGGCCCACTTGTTTTTATTTTACATGTCATTTGCTCTTCCCTGTCACTGTGGGCAGTTACTAATTTTTGAGAAACACGAGTCTGTCACTCTAGTCACCTGTAGCTACAAGCAAACCAATCTTGATTCTGTTTGGTAGCATTAACTTACTCAGTTGGTAGAAAGCATGAAGCATGGAGATGACATCATCACCTCGGTTATTGCAGTAAATATACCTCCAGGAGGTGACAAAGTGACAAATCTCTCTCTTCGTGTGTTATATTCCAGAATTTACACTGATTACCAACAAGCCCAACTGGATGAGCATGTTACTTCTGAATGACCTCTGGAAAGTCGTTAGAGACAACGTCTTCAAAGTCCAACACTATTTCAGTCTTCAGAAATGGAAAAGCACAAGCAAACCATGGCAATCTACAAGCATGAATGCTGTTTCCATCTTGGTAAGTTCCTCTCAGTATGGTCAAAACCCATATAGAACAGAACAAACACCTCTGTTCAGTGTGTTTCAGGTCATTTCTCCCAGACCATCCAAGGCTCCTGATTTTCTTTCATGGGATCTTTCAGATTTTAAGACTCCTGATTTCAAACTTAGGAATTAGAGGTATCACTCAGATCCAGCCTATAAGAGTCACAAAGCTGTAATTTTCCAAGTGTTATAATCGAGATTCAAAGATAGCTCTATCTTCCTTCACTCTCTTTTTTACTTTCTCTGCTCTCAAAGGACACCAATAACAAGACAAAATAGGAAAACAAAGTCACATATGAAATTCATAGAAAAGCATCAACAACAGTATTAAGGCAATACTTACAGTGATGCAGGAATCTTAGATGAGAAAATAGGCTTTTGCATCCAAGCTAAATATTTCAGGCTGCTAATGTTACACTGGTTATTTCCTGAAAAATAATCAGAGGATAAAAAAAAAAAAATCATGTCCTTGAATTAGATAACCACTGAAGAAATTTAAGACATTTACATGTTCCAGAAACATGCTGACATATGTAAACAAGACTAAGATGCCAACTAGTAGTAACTGTAAAATCCTTGCTAAACAGAGGAGAAACTTTTGACTACATGCAACACACAGCCAAAAGTCAAACCCAATTCACAAAAATGAGGAGTACAACCTTAAGTCATCATCATTATTAGATGGATTAAGAAAACCAAGTTTGCAACCATGATCACAACCTTAACATTTTTAATAACTTTAATACAACAAAACATGCTACTCTTTAAAGTGATATTTGGCAGAAAGTGCTTGTCTTATGAAGAACATTTGAGAAGATCATGATCAGTACAAGACTTTGAAAGACAAAGAAGATACTCCTTCACACATGCTTGCTTCACTCTTCACCTGTTACTTTCTGACCCTGACCACAAGCCTCAGAAATCACCAGCAACTACTTGTTTTGCCAGTGGATGGGGTCAGCACAAAGGACACAGACAACAGGTTCAAAAGATAAGCTTACTTTTACTTCAGTTTAAAGCAGTAAAGAATAAGCAAGGTAACGTATCTAATCATTATTACATAAGAGTTAATTATAGCGATTAAGAAAGATACATCACCAATTGCCCTAATACTTTACCATCACTCAGATCCATGCTTCAGCTGGGGAGCCTCTGTCACAGCGAAGGATTGGAGAACCACTCCTGGCAATTGGGAAGTCCTACTCAGTGCGTCCACTCATAGGTGAGGTCTCCATCGTTGCTGTGAGAGGGTCCTGCTTTTATACAGTTTGACAAACAAATCTATACATCAAAATGCACAGAAACATCTGGCGGATTGGCTTCCTCACTCGGGCACGTCCCAGATCTGACCAGGATCCTGGGCATGTCCAAGGAGTTCCTGTTTTGACTAGTCTATTTCTAGCTTTGACAGTTTCCAGGGATGATTCCCATGGTCATATTTCATGCTGATATGATGCCGATTGGGAAGTTCACTCAGAAGTCAACTTCGCATGCTAAAATGATGCTGGTCGAGAAGTTCTCTCAGAAGTCAACTTTGGTTCGAGGTCTATAGTTTAGGCCTTTTTATATCATCTGTTGGATTGGGCAAGACATTCCAGCAAGGATTTAATACTTCATTCACTGAATGTTATAACTTAACATTAAAGCCTGCACACCTGCACACTGGAGCCAGAAAACATCTAAACAGGAAAAACACAGGGAGAGGATGAGAGTCAGCGATGTTGTGTCAGACTCATGAAAGGCAAACCAGGATCACAGTAACAGTTGACTCCTAGAGGGTATAGAAAGCACACCCAAAACCAGTCACCAGTCAAGAGGATAGTAGGACATGGAGTAAAGACTCATGACGTTACATCCCTTGTCCTACACATTGCTGAAAGACAAAGTTAACATAAATGCAGCAGGAAGCTGCAGAACCATGGTGTGGCAACTACCGTGCCAAGACTGGACAGTAACTGAATGGCCAATCCTGAACAAATATTTACCATTTCTGCAGAGAGCAGCTTGGCAGTAACCAAACTGCTCGTTTAGCATAACAAGAGAGCAGCTAAGACACCTGCATGATGATCCTCAGGTAAACTACTTGCTTGTCAAACGATTTCTGTGATTCACCAGGGAACATGGACAACCAGCTCAAATGCAGTGAGCAAATGCACAAGGCAACGGGTTGCTGAAATTAAAGGGTATAAAAAGATAGCTCACCAACTGTGGGCTAAGACTAGCAGCAGAGGATCACAACATTGAAGATCCTCACCACCTGAAAAATCAACAGCTATGGAGGCAATCATCCTTCTCCAGGCTACGTCAACACACAAGGATAGGTGTTCCTGGAGCCCCCAATACCATAAGCATGGTCTCTTAAGGGCCAATACAAGGATCTTGTGCACCGTAACAGGCTGGGAGAACTTATTCTGGGGTTGTGCCTACAGTCAACCCCCGACAAATGGGCTGGATAACAATAACTGGTAAAGTCAGAATGCAAGCGTGCATTCTGTGTGCATGCACATGCCGAAGACGAGTTTATCTGGAGGGCATCTGCCCGAAACTGATCAAGTCAAAAGGGAAGATGGTGACCAACCACCAATTGATGGTGTTGAAGAGGAATACAATCATCACTTGGATTAAACAGTAACTGGAGAAATTCAAAGACACTTTTGAAACAAAAAGGATTCAATAGAAATATAAAAGAAGTGTGACATTTTTAACAAAAGGAAAACACTTTGGAGTGGAAACAGCAGTAATCAAGACCTGCATGACACTGCCCAAAGTCACCCTGCCAACATCACAACCTCTGCCTGTGCCACACAGAGCAACCTCTCCATCAAATGCTGTAAGGAGCCCGGCCTGTAACCAGCTAGAGCACTGACAGTGCAGGGTGCAACAAGTAGGGACCTGCACCTCAGCTGTGTGCATGCAAACTCATGGGATGCCTTCTCACCAACACTGGGATCAGCAGGTTATACAGCTGATACTCACAAAAAGGTGGAGCAATGCCATCTCCCACAGAAGTTGTGTGTAAAAAGAGGGCTTGTGCTTGTAACCCATACATCAGGGTTACAAGGTGTAGAGAGAGGGATGCATGTCACAGAAAGAGAGATTCAAACTTTCTGACATAAAAGAAGGGTGTTTAGAAACAGTGGGTGCTTCCAGAAACTGTAGATGCTCAACATGTTTAAAGTGTTGCATTTTGTGGTTTATTTGTTATATTACCAATTTTCCTTCTGAAGATATAGTTGAGTGATTGCCAGTTAATTACATTTTCTTAATAAACTGTTTCAATCTTGAATAAACTACATGAACAGAATAGTTCTCTACTACAGTTTACCGTAACGTTATTGTATTTGTGCAATATTTTTATTGCAAATGTACATTGTAGTGCTTTGGCTATTAAAAAGAAAAATCACTATAATGTTTGCATAGTCACGGTCCTTATCCTCCACTAGGTGCTATACATTTGCTCCTGCTAACACACTGACTTTAAGCATGAAGTAAACAATATTCATCTGGAGATTAGTGACTTCAGTAACCTAAAAGTACCATGAGGAAGTGACCAGCAACAGGAGATGAAAGGAATGACAACAAATAAGGAGTATTTGATCAGCTGACCCATGTTACACTGGGACCAGGATACTAGTAATACAAATTCAGCACAGCAGAGCCAACTCTGTGGAAGATCCTTTGATCACTCCAGAGAAACAACCACCAGTAGACCTCACTGCTTTTCAAAAGCATTGAGGTTTACTTCATTCAGGTCCACTGATAAGGAGGAAACTAGCATTATACCCTGATTTGAACTGTGGTCAGCAAAACCTCATATTTACTAGTGTAACAGCCAACATAGGGCTGGTCTCCCCGCAGTTACCTATCAGGATAGGTCCACGGGAGCTCAACTCCTCCGGTGTAACTGTGGCAGGGCTTGTAGTAGGTTGACCTCAGCCAGCAGCCAAGCACCCATGCAGCCACT